AAATTTCTCATTGAGTTTCCTATGGTCCGTTTGACGATTCACCACCCGGTATATACAAAAGCAAGAACAGCTGGAGCCTCGCGCTCGCCGCGCGGAGAGAAACCGGTTTTCATATGTGCGTAGATGACGTTAATAAAATAACTATAACTTATATTCTAGTGGAAATTTTATTTTTTTAATTTTAGGAGGGAGTTTTTGAATGTATATGGAAGCGATTTATAAAAAAAATAAAATTGATTTTTTGAAATTTTCGCATGAGACTGTCCCCTTAAGGTAACCTTCGGAACAGCAAAAGTCTCAGCAGCAGTTTTAAAATGTCATCTTTTTCACAGAGATGACAAGTGTCGCTCTAAGTCTAATATCAACATTTCTGTTCAAGACCAAAGTGTAGAAATGTTAAAACTATTAAAAAATGATCGAAAAGTGATTATACATTCATAAAAAATTATTTAAGTATTCAGGGAAAGTTAAAATTTATCGAAAGATAAATCGAAAGAATCTCGAAGGGGAAGGGTTTAGAGTTTGCGTTATATAAAATGATAATTCAAAATCTTCTTTACAAAATTTTTCGGTAGTATGAATACTTCTTAACAGTGACATATTCCGGAAATTTTTCTGAAAAAATTGTGTACGTAATAGTGACATCTAGTTTCTCATTTAAATAATACTTTTCCTTGCTAGTATAGTGAGGTACCTTTGTGGGATATGATTTAATATGTTCACAAATAGCATCTGTACTAATACCAGAAATTGCATTGCTTGGAGTACTTTTTCCCCATTTGTCGAATGGTTATTTTCCTGCACTTAGAAGAAGTACAAGCCACCTCACTCGTTCATATTCAAGGCTAATTTATAAACGGTAATTTTTCAATTTGGGGTTGATATTGAGTATACATACTTACTACTTCTATTTGGTTTTGAAGACTCACAAAGTTGTAAGTAACAATCTTGCTAATTTGTTGTAGTCAGGTCCCTAACTTGTTGGAAAATCCGCATTTTTCCGTCGCTACTTATCAATGAAAAGCACTTTTTCCTGCACCTGAAAATTCAGTACATATTAACAAATTTATTTTAACCAGTCAACAAAAAATTGTTTTTAATAAAAACTGTTTATTGGAAAAGAACAAATTATCAACCTACATGCAATCTTTAGAGGATGGAGAAGGAACTGCAAGAACATTCTTCCCTTTCCAATTGATGTATTCGTTTCCTTTGACTATAGCTCATTTTATTATTTCATTTATATATTCGTAGGGTTTTTTTATTCCTTTCTTTTTCTGGTTAGGTAAATTAATATTGTTATAATCACTGTCGCTTTCACTCATTTTAAAATATTTTTGTCAAGATATAATACAAATAAATAATCCACAATTATTACTACTGTATTCGTATTCACTACACATTTATTTATCTACGTGCATTCACAACACTGACTGAAAATTATTGGCATTAGTGTGCCAAATTATAACGAGATACTCATCTCTACTTTAACCAAACAGCAAAAGTCAGAGTCGGCAGAGAACTTTCGGAGAAAGTAGAGATAAAAAGAGGCGTAAGGCAAGGTTGCATACTCTCCCCCTTATTGTTCAATCTATATTCAGAAGAAATAATTCAAAAATCACTCGAAAATGTAATAATTGGAATAAAAGTCAACGGCAGACCCATCAACAATATCAAATATGCTGATGATACTATACTAATTGCAGAGAATATACAAGATCTACAGACACTTTTAGATAATGTAGTAAATGCTAGTGAGGAAAGCGGACTAACGCTTAATGCTAATAAAACAAAATTTATGACAATTTCCAAAACACAACAACAAGACATTTTAAACATAAGAGGAGTTTCAATAGAAAAAGTAAAAAAAAATACAGATATCTTGGTACAATTATAAATGAAAATAACGAGTATACAGAAGAAATAAAAATGAGAATTGGACAAGCTAGAACAACATTTAATAAATGAGAAAAGTATTATGCAGTAGAGACCTTAGTTTACAACTCAAAATAAGAATATTACGTTCTTATGTGTTTTCGGTGCTGCTGTATGGAGTGGAGGCCTGGACCTTAAAGAAAGAGGTGAGCGATCGACTTGAAGCATTCGAGATGTGGACCTACCGAAGAATATTAAAAATAAGTTGGGTAGACCGAATAACAAATGTTGAGGTCCTCAGAAAGATGACAAAGGAAATGGAAATCATGAATACGATTAAGATAAGAAAGTTACAGTATCTCGGCCACGTTATGAGAGAGGATAAATATGTGTTGCTACAAACCATAATGCAGGGAAAAATACAGGGAAAACGAAGTATTGGAAGAAGACGCATCTCCTGGCTCAACAATCTGAGAAAGTGGTATAATTGCAGTTCCGTCGACTTGTTAAGAGCTGCAATCTCAAAAGTGAAAATAGCTGTGATGATTACCAACCTCCTTAGAGGAGATGGTACCTAAAGAAGATAACGAGATACGCGGTGCATAGTAGAAACGGCTTTTAGTCATGGACTTATGATGTTTCTCTAATAAATCGCCAAATCATACCGTTGTAGATAGGTTACGAATGCACTAACTGACGGCGTTTCTTTACAAAAATGTGTATTAACAGTTTAAAAGTCCATTTTAGTGAAAAAACGATGTTGGTAAAATTATGACTTATGGGGTTTCTCAAATAACTGATTCAATTTATATATACTTTTTTGAAAACGATTTACGGATTGGAAATCGAAACGTCAAAACAAATGTAAAATATAATTCTCATTACAGCAAATTGTTGTCTAATCCCATATAAATTAATATTAAACTTATTAAACATGCCACAAGAAAATAGTTTCAAAATCTCATAGATGTCATATGGTTTCTCAGACTTTCATCTACCTACTTTTCAATATTTTTTGATAGTATGGTAGAAAAACACATAATTTATAAAATATCAGTACTATACTCAAAATCAGTTACATTTGGTGACTCTTATTTAATACCAAACTGTTAGTTTTACTTATTATTTAGTAATTTTATATGTAAATAGCATGCAATATGAGGTATATTACCTTGCATAATATCTAGACACCATTTGAGCGTTCAAACAAGAAATCGCTCTCAGTTCTAATTTACTATTTCACATTTGAAGAAGTAAAACAGCAGATCACTGAATCATATAAAAGATCTACGAAAGAATATTTTAAAAGTACAAAAAAATAGCTGTGTATTACCAATACAATATGGCATAATGAAAACATTGGCATTAAGGCTAAATCTAGAATATTCAAAGCCGCTATAAGACGTGTAATGACACCGCAAAAACTAGACCATAAACAACAAAAACCAAAAGATTGTCTGAAACAACAGAAATTAAAAGTATAATTTGTGGCATAGCTGGAAAGACTCTTCTAGACAAAGAAACAAGTGAAAATATAAGAAATGCATGTGGGATAGACGATATTAATGGTTGGTACTAAATAGGAAAAAAAGTGCAATGAACATATTAGCAGAAAGGAAGAAAGAATAATAGTGAGAATAGCTAAAAATAAATCACCAACGGGACAGAGAAGGCCGACCACGAAAAAGGTGGATAGCCAATCTGAAAATTGATACAGGTGGATGAAGTTTAAACAGGCAATTCGTCTAGAATAAAGACGGCAGAAGAAGAAGAAAATAAATTAAAAGAAAAACATATACCTACAAAAACCGTAAACTTGGTAGAATAAAAAAATGTATTATCTGTAATTTAGGTGTTCCAACAGTTGCTTAAAATTCTAATATAACAATTCAATATTATAGCATTTATACAGGGTTAAACCAGAATTGACTGTAATGAAAATTACATTTTACATTTGTGGTTGTCTTTTCGATTTCCACTTCGAAAATCGTTCTCACGTTATATTAAAAACTAGCTGACCCAGAAAACTTCGTAGGTACCACCTTAGAATTAAACATTGTGACTAAAAAATTAACAGAAAATAAACCAAACCAAAATATTACCTATGCATAAAAAAGTTGAATCAATTTAATACTTTCTGATAAAATTATTTTTATTTTTTTTACGTTAAATAAATATAAAACGATGACGGTTTTCCGACACGCGAATAATTGTCCATGCGCAAAACATTTAAACTCTAAGTTATTTCCGCAATCTTCCAACGGTTGTCTTTGTGTGTCGTTTATTGACATTGCAGAAGCCAAAAGCACGGGCAATTGTAAACGTTTAAAATCAAATGGTACGATCGTTGAAATCATAATTATACGCGGGATTATCACATTATTCACTAACCTTTTCACAGTCAATTTCGTTCCATTGTGCAGTCGAGGTTGATTAATGTTACGCAGCAAAATGACAGCTGATCCTACTTTTAATTGTAAATTATTAGGTGGGAACTTAGGTAATTTCAATGAATTCAAAAACTTTGTAGGATAGTTGACTACGTCATCCAGATTTATAACTGTGTTAACTGATTTGAACGAAAACAACTTTCCTGAAAGAAAATTCAGACTGGTCGCATTCAATCGTAATAGCCAAACCATATTGAAGCGTGGTCGTGTCATCTAGTATATATAGTTGCAGTCCTTGACTTGTTAATCCCAGTATTTTTTTAATAATTTTTACAATTTATTATTTTGAATATAACACATTCTATTTTTTGGTTTTTATTTTAGATATTTTTTTCAGAAATGGATCTCAATTTGAATTAAACTGCCATCTTTTACTAAAAGTCTAAACTTCAAACTGCCTACTTATTACAGAATTCTACAGTGCAGTTTTCTTTTAGATACAGGTTACTTTTCATTGTCTTTACCTAAAACATATATTATTTATATTATTTATTCATATATCACATGTAATTCAATAAAATATGTTTGAAACCTTAACAGTATGGAAAATATAAATTTATTTTTTTTAATTTCCATAAAATTTCCTGGACGATAGATGGGTAAACTGTACACTGTCACCAATGACGTATTTGACTGTCACGTTGTCTGACGTTGACATTTATTGTTGTCAAAAATGACGCAATGAATAAGAAAATGTGTTTATGTGCCAAAAATGTTTATTAAAAACCGAACCTATTACAGAATTTTAATAAGTATCAACGAAGCATCGACATGAGCGAAAAGAGAATAACTCTCAGCAATGAGGCCATGGAAAAAATTATCGGAAATATGACGGCAGAAATGCAAAACGTTGATGGTCAATATGTTCCCTTAGGCTTCACACCACCTTCTTCAACATCTGAGCCCTTAAACTGGAATCAGCAAACAAATTATATGAACAGATATTCTCCTGAAGTTGAGCAATATCCCCAGCAGCGGTATAATTTTATACCTCAAGCTCAACACATGTTTGATGCTAATGGATACAAAAAAGGTAAAACTTACATGTATAGATAACAGATATTTTTTAACACAAAAATTGATCAAATCTGATAATGATGATAATAAAAGAAGGTAATGGAAAAATCAGACTAAATATTAAGTGTTTATGAAAATATTTTTAAATACTTTGAGATTGATTTTTGTCAGCTTTGGAAACATTTTTTGTACTTATGAAAATAAAAAAACAAAACTGTAATTTTTAACAAAGAATCACCAATTATTTTAAGGTGATAATAAGGATATATCCATTAAAAAAATTAAAGTATGTAAAAATGTTTAATCCCTCAAATGTATGAAAATGTGTAGTGATTTCAGGAAGTAACAAATGGTTAACCATTATAAGTGAATCATTATAAATATGTAGCTAAATTAATATATTACTTCATAGGTCAACCACATGTAGATATATCAACATAGATATATAAATTGTTGATTAAAAACAATTTATTAGACATGTAAATCTACCAAATTTGTTGTAAGTTTTGCTCTTAACCATTGAGTGAGCAAAGTTAAGAACTGATCCTTTTAAATTTGTCTTAAATCTTCTACTTATTTTTTATCCTAATAGTATGGTAATGTCAAAATAATATTGAAAAAAATATTTTACTTAAAAATAAATAATATTTTTAAGTAAAAAACAAAAACTTTCAAAATATAATTTAGAATAATGTGTTTGTGTATAAAATTTTCTAGAAAATGTAAATCTGAAAAACTTCCAAAACACATTAATTTTGGAAACATGAATGAAAACAATTGACTGTTTTTGTTAACTTTTGTTGAACATTCTAATGCATAATCAACCAATAGTATGTTACATGTGGCATAGGACTCATTTCAATTGGTTGAATCTGTTGAATCATTTTAATTGGTTAACTTTGACAGTACAGTAAAATCGAACAGGTTACAATTGAATGATCTCTCAATTAGTCAGTTTTTTACAGTAGGTTGGAAGACACATTGGACTTGTTGTCAGATGTTGAAGGTTGTAAAGATGTAAAGGTTATGAATATTCTAGTGGAACATGATATTTGAAAAAGATCACAAGTCCATTTATATAGAATATACAACAGATCACTTGACTCTGACTCTTGTAGTTGTTCAAGCATTGGATTCAACAAAACTGCAACATGTATTTGAAGTACTGTATGAAAGTTTCAATAATAATCATTATTGAAACCCCATTATTAACCCAACTAAAACGAAACTAAAAATCTTCAACACAAATGTAAAAGCTGTATTACTGTATGGCTGCGAAACGTGGAAGATATCAGCACCCATAGTACACCAATTACAAGTTTTCATTAATAGAGCGTTACGAAAAATCCTTCGTATATTTTGGCCTAACCGAATCTCCAATGAAAATTTATGGAACCAAAGCAACCAAGAAAATGTCATAAAGCAAATAAGGCGAAGAAAATGGAGATGGCTGGGGCACACACTCCGTAGACCGCCAAATGACATTGCCAGGACAGCACTGGATTGGAATCCCCAAGGCCGACGGAAAGTAGGCAGACCTAAGGGAACTTGGAGAAGGACAGTACTGGACGAAGGGAGAACAATGGAAAATCCTGGCTTGAAATCAAAGCACTAGCCAGAAATAGAGTTCGCTGGAGACACTTTGTGGAAGCCCTATGTTCCTCTTAGGAATCTTGGGACTATATATATGAAAGTTTCAATAATAATCATTATTCTTAGTATTCATAAAAATGGTACATTTGCACAAAAAATTTATAAGAACCCTGAATCCCAAGAAGACTTCTTTTTGACATCCTATAAATAATTAGATGTTTTTTTGAAGGTGAATTTGACTGACATGTATGCTCTCAGGCATTGGTGATTTTACTTTACCAAATCATTCATTGCTTAGGTGTCAATGAAAAATATGTTATGATTTTTTAAAAATCACTAAGTATGTGTTGAAGATTCCCAATAAAAATTATATGTATAATGAAAAAGACATTAATCAGATTCTACAGTTTTAGAAAATATATAGTCACCTTAGTTAAAAACAATTACCTTTGACTAATCATGTTTTCTTTCTTGCAGAGTATGACCTTTATAAGTCTATGCAAAATGGCACTGCAGATATGGGACTCTTTGAGACTGAATATCCCTATATACCACAGATGATGAATAATATTCCAGAACATCCTTTGCTTCACTCTCATCATGATGCCATGCCACATGTATCAAATCCTTCTCAATTGATAGATTTAGTAGGTAACTGGATGGTACCTAATAACAGTGGTACCTACTCTCCCTTTGGTACTTCTGAAAATTATAAACCAAATGTATTTGATTTACCAACTGATCTCAACACCAGTACAAGTATACATTTGAAAGATGAAACCAGATATAAGACTGCTGATCAAATGGAAGATATACAGTTTCAGGTATGCATACAATTGTTAAAATGCAAAAGTCTCCATATTTGAAAAGTAATTAAAATAACTGAATTTACAAATTATTAAAATTTAATTACCCTTGTTGTATTAATACAAATAACCCTATATTTTATTTTTTCACAATATTTCATTTATGACACTCTTTCATTTCTATGAAGCTTTTCCTATAATATATGTAAACTCATTACTTTCCAAGAAATTTTGAGTTTACTTCAAATTTTGGGAATATCTTCAATTTTTGTAAGTAGAAATGTATTAGTCTTGCATAATAATATAACAAAATTATTTTTATTTCAATAAATAACTAATAAAAAATATAAATGATAACAATATGCAATGAATGTAACAATTAATGTGATATTAAGGAAATAAGTCTAAAGTAAGTGTTCAAAATGTCCACCTCCAATGTCTTTTCAATTCAAATGACCTCTTTACATTTCTTAAAGTTTGTATGTCAATATTATTAAAAGCTTCTCTGATTCTATTTTTAATATCATCTGGTATTGTTGGAGGCTTCTCATACACAAGATTTTTTATATAGCTAACATTAAAAAAATCAATTCTGGTGGTCAGTGTCCAAACAGTTGGTCCTCCTCTGCCTATCTACATCATACTGCAGTAGCAGATCTTGACATTGAAAATACCAACCAAAAGACAAAAAAAAATAAACCCAAACTACATAAAAGACATAAATAATAGGTTTTCTGTAATCCTGGACCTTCTTGTTTGTGGGGGGGGGGGGGGGAATTTTCAAAATTATTATTTAGATGATTGTGAATAAGAGCAGTAGGATGAACTGGAGTACCATCTTTGTCTACATTCTTTGTCTATATTCTTTGTCTACTGTTATGTGGAATATTTTGCACCACTCACAGGGCCGTCAAAAAAATGTTGGCCATTCACAGAGTCCTCAGCAATACCACCCCAAACATTTATACACCCCCTAGTTTGGCTATGACTGTTAATAAAGTAGGGATTGCTTGATGCATAGTAATAAAAATTATGTAGATTCACTGTTCCGTGTTTGTGAAATATAGCCTCATTTCCCAAAAATACATCAGTTGCTATGCACTTGCCACTGAGACCATGGACAAAAATTAAATATGTGATTATAATCAATGACTATGAATTCTTAATGTAATGTAAGTGTATGTGATAGGGATGCATTTCTTGTTTATGGAGGATTTTGCTCCCAAAATTTGACTAATGTCATGTTGACATGAAATTTCATGAGTGCCACTGTGGGGAATCCTTGGTAGTAGCTAACAGTGAGTCGTATTTCTTTTCTTCGCTTGATAACAGTTTTGGTTCTCTCATTTTTTTTTTTCAAAAGCTTGCTCCTTTCAGGATATCGCTGTTTAGATATTCTGAATTCAAGTATACAATTTCTCAAACTTTCTCCTAATACCCAGATCATATCTGTTGCATCTGAAGAATAATTTATTTTTAAAATTAACATACAGATGGATTAAACAGGTAATAATAGGATAACACCAATATACATCAGAAAACAGAAATAATGGCAGGCTGAACTGTAAGAAGCAACCCTAAAAATTTGGCTTTAAAATTCATGTGTCTTGCGAAAAGAAAACAGTTAAGTTTAAACAGCTGAAACTACTGTATCAAATAAGGTTTTCCTTTTGTTTATAGTCATAGTCATCTTTATTGTTCCTTTAAGACATTCAAAATAAACAAATAGGATACGTCACTACAGAATTTAGTAGAAAAATATTAATGTGTATACTACAATATTCACTGTGTAAAAAAAATTGACAAAACATAAAATATATAAAATAACATTTTTACAAGTAAAATATGAAGCTACTGCAGTTTGTCCTCAAGATGTTCATTTATAGAATAATATGCTTTTCTTAAGAATAAATCTTCAACATTTTTTTTTAATTTAGAGATAAGTGGTATTTCTTTCACAGTTTTTGGCAAATGATTGTATAATGTCAGTCCCATATATCTGAAGCAATTTTGAAATTTGGACGTTCTGTGTTTAGGAACTCATAAAGATTCAGCACTTCTTGTATTGTAATAGTGATTGTCTGAATTTACTGGAAATGTATTGATTTAAACATTTATAGATATATAGGCTGTAGAAAGTTAAAATTTGATGTTTAATAAAAACTGGTTTACAAGACTGTTGATAATCCAAATTAAAAATTTTACGAGTTCCACCACAAAATTACATTATAGCACATGTGGCTGTAAGCAAGGCTATAATAAACGTTCATTACTGCCGAGATGGGTAGTGTGTTTTTAATTCTAGATATAGCATAAAAAGCTTTATTCAATTTCATGTTCACTGAATTCACTTGCTCTGACCATTTGAGAATTACAATCAATGAATACACCCAAAAACTTTGTAGAGTGCGTGGAATATTTAGATGAGTTGTATGAATGAAAATAAATAATTTGCATCTTGTCAATGTTTAATATTAGTCTGTTGGTATTACACCAGTGTATAAAGCAGTCAACAACAGTCTTCATTATCATTTTTAATTCCTCAAGTGTATGTGCAGAGACTATTAACGAGGTCTCATCAGCAAACATTGATATTATAAGTGCCCTTATGTGATCTGGTAGGTCATTAATAAAAATTAGGAGTAATAATGGTCCCAGCACGGATCCCTGTGGTACTCCTTTATTTGTAGTGTATGGTTCTGAGCTTGATTCATTCATCTTAACAACAGTTTTTCTGTCACTTAAGAAATTTATTATTCATTCTAGAAATATCCCTCTAAAACCAATGTTATATAATTTATTGCGAATAAATGTTATGTCTAAGCAGTCAAAAGCATGTAATAGATCAAAAAATAGTCCTGCCACTTGGTTTCTACTATCTAATTCATCATAAATACGCTTAAACAAGTTGCATGCAGCCGTGAGTGTTCACTTTTTTTATCTAAAGCCGTGTTGGGTTGGAGTTAATAAATTGTATTCTTCTATAAAGGGATTTTAAAATGAAATAAATATGTTTTTATTATTAAAATTTTATTTTTATTAGGCATATATATATTGCATATTATAAGCTATACATCAGAATACTGCATGGTCCCTTGTACAATTTAGTTTTAAACCACCTAAATTTTAGTTTAACAGAGACTCAAGAAAACCAAGAATGGTGGCTGAAGTAAAACCTATGAGGCCAAGTTACTCAGATGTTTTAACCAAAGCTGTACCACAGACTTTGAGTAAACCATTAAAATGTGAAACTAAAGATAGTAAACCCAAAAAAGACAGTAAGAAGAACAACAAAAATGAGAAGAACCAGAAAATGAACAGTACATTAGGAAGGGGCAGTACTAACAATGATATGAAGGTAAGTGTGTAATATTAATTTTTAATAGAACTATCTTTTCTTTGATGTTAATGTGTGTTAAATAAATATTTTTTAAGTTAGAATAAGTTTTAACCCAGAACATTTTCTGATCATGGTAAAATGATTTATGTTATTGTTGAACTCCTCTGTTACTATTTGACCTTTAATAAAAGTCAATATTTCTTATCTTCTTATTTTGCCATCTTCTAACAAAGGTTGGTGTTCACTTCTTTAAATGCTTCCCTATCTTTTGCAACATGAAATATCTGTTAAATACTGAGGTCAGCCCAATCTCTGATATTCCCCAGCCAAGATTTCTTCTTTTTTCCAATCCTTTTCTTCCCTCTTCTCTTCCTTGTATAATGACATGTAGAAGGGAGTATTCATCGTTTTGAAGTATGTGGCCCAGATATGATGTTTCCTTATTTTAATTCTGTTCATAAGTTTTCTGCAATGTCCAATTCGTCTTAACGCTTCTTTGTTTGAGACTATTGCACTTCAAAAAATTTTAAGAATTGGCCTATATAGCCACATTTCGAGCGCCTCCAATGTTTTTACAGATTGGGCTTTTAGAATCCAAGCTTCTACCCCATATAGTAGTTGCGACCATACATAACATTCGGGAATTCTCAATCTGATAACCATAATCAATTTCTTATTTGTAAATATTGACCTGTATTTTATAAATCCTTTTCGAGCTATTTCAATTCTGACCTTTATCTCCTCATCTTGTTCTATCTGTGAATTTATAATTGCTGCGAGGTATTTATACTTGTCGACCCTCTCTAATGGTTTACAGTGTCAGATGTATTTTGTCAACAGGGCTTTTCGAGATCACCATGTATTTTGTTTTATCTATATTTATTGTTAGTCCCATCTTTTTGCTTTCTCTTTTAATGATTTATATAAGAATTTGTAAATCTTCTATATTTTTTGCCATGATTGCGGTATCGTCTGCAAATCTTATGTTATTAATGATGCTCCTCCAATCCTTACACATTCAGTTCTTTCCCATAGTGCCTTCTGAAATATGGTAGTAAAAATTAAATAATTGTGGCGACAGCACACATCCCTGTCTGCCTCCTCTTTGAACTTCTTATCATATTAATGATGCTCCTCCAATCCTTACACATTTAGTTCTTTCCCATAGTGCCTTCTGAAATATGGTAGTAAAAATTAAATAATTGTGACGACAGCACACATCCCTGTCTGCCTTCTCTTTGAATTTCTACTTGGTTTGTCTCACTAAAATCCTTTTACCCTATGATGATGCAATTAAGATATAATCAGTGAGCCTCAAACAGTTGGGCGTTAATATTTAATTCCGATCGCTTGAAAAGTAAAAATATTTAATTTCCTGTATTTTATGTTCAGTAATATTGGATTGTACTGTGTCAAAGGCAAATAAAATTAATATAATGTGTATATAAATACTCAAAATTATTTGTCAACATCAAATGTTCATCAAGGTCTCTATAAGTCTATTTTGCGTTGAGTGAAAATTATATGAATGGTTTTGCATGCAGTAAAATTGGAAAATACTTGCCAAGTTGCTAGTATGTCCAAATTTTAATAATAAAATACATCCAAGACTTTACTTTCTGCAGACACTGTATTAAATATATTCTTGAAACAAACTAGCACTAAATCAAATTTAACTAAAACACACCACAAAGTACGAATTTATTCCCGAAACACTTTTTTGTTACTTCTTTTTAGCAAACGATTTATTCTATTAACTCATCACTATCTGAATTGTCTATCCGAATAATTAGAGGCCAGACCTCATCTATAACTCGCTCGTTTTGAAAAGACTGTACGATTATGTCTTCCGTATGTCTAATATAATTTTGCCATTGTTCTGCCTTTATTTATTCTAGCGATTCTTTCCACAATCTAAGAATGTTAGCGTCATCTCTTGTTTTGGATGTATGTTTATCATAACAATTTTTGGCTATATCCCAAACTAACACACTTGCATTAAAGTGGGGATGGTAGGGCGGAAGTCGATGAACTTCATGGTAATATTTAAGAGCCATTTGGTCAGTAACAAATTTCTTTTGAATTTTGTGCTCTTCACACCTTTGAAGTAAATCAACTTTTAAAAATGTCACTATGATAAATTTTCTTTTCTGTCAACCACAACTTTATTTCTTCTTTTGTCCAGCTGCTTGAAGGAAATCTCTCTTCTACTCTTGGGTGGTAGGATGCAATATCTAACACTATTATGGATGGTCGCTCCAATTTTTTTATTTCGTCAAACCATTCTTCAAAAATATTTGCAACCATATTTCCATGGTAATCACCTGTATTCTTTGTGGAAGAAAAAATTTAACTAGCGTGAGGAATAAAACTCTCATCATTTCCAGCATGAAGTCTAATGTAGCGTTAACCATTACCGGAACGACTAGAAGAATAACATTTCGTGGTGACATCTTGCCAGGATGATTTTGACATATTTCCTTTAGCGAAAATCCAAATTTCATCTAAAAATGCAAATTGCCTCGGACTATCAGACGTTTTATTGTTCATGTATTTTCTTAAAAATGCCACTGTTTTGAAACAACATTAGAGAGTTCACATAATACTTGTCTATTATTTGTCTTTTTGTATCGAAAACGTAAATGTTTCAGCACTCTCCACAAACTTGTTAAACTTAGATCACACAGTTCCTTGTCTTTTATTTTTTGTAATACAACACTAATTGTTACATGTTCTTTGGCTTTATACATATTATATGTAGTATTTTTAATTACAAGTTTAATTGAATGGTCCAAATCTTAAGTTTTTGGTTGTCAGCAATTTCTCTTGCTTACTTTATTTATTTCATCCTCACTCATGTTATTAATTCTTCGGAATGTCCTCTCTGAGATACCACAAGCATTGCATGTGCGTTTCTGAACTGCCATAACAGATGTCAATGGACCCATATCATTTTTTCCAAATTGAAATAACTTTCGACTTTTAGAACTAAACGCCGTTCTTCTGGAGATAACACTCTACGTTTCAACTGTATTTTATTTTCTTACAAATTACTCGTTTTAAAGTACCGCTTCACTACACTGCTATAAAAAAAAATAGGTATTTGTATACAACTACTACACCTTAAAAAGGGCGAGGGTTGTACAACAGACGAAACAATCAAACACAAATTATTTACCAACCAATGCTAAACAAGTGTAAACACTGCATTTACTGTGATTACAAAAACCGTTTGCATGTTTTAAATAAGATTTTTGTTGATTATATATTTCGCTAAATTATTAAATAACACCAATACAACCCACGACCACCAATTAATTTTTAACGATAAACCGAAGTGTAATAGGATGAAAAGTTTGAATTTGATCTACTTTGTCGATTACAGTGTCGTTAACAGAAAGATATTTTTAAATAGCATGAATCATTTTTCAATGATTGTGTGGATTTAAGAAATACATTGTCTATGTCTATATAACATATAAATACGTTTTTATTATATTCGCTTCATTTTTGTAATAGTACCGGCATTGCACACAGTATCTCTCTTGTTCCAATTCCACTTTTAAATCCAAACTGTGTGTTGTCTAATTGTTCTTCCCATTTTTTATATATACGTTGTTGAATAAGGCTAATTGAATGAGGCTAATTAATCGATATTCATGATTAAGGATAATTTTTCTTGGGTACGGGTAAAAAGATAGATTTTAACCATTTATCAGGAATTTGACCGTCGCGCGTCATAGTATATTGTATTAAATAATTTGTTAGAAACTCAATATTTTCGTCATTGAGGATTTTTAATATTTCTACTAGAATTTCATCGGGACCTTGCGCTTTACCACTTATTGACTTTTTAATTGTCTGTTTAACTTCTGATATTAGAATTTATAAGTTATTATGGTAATACTAAGTAATGTGTTTTACTTTCTGTTTTATGATCTTTTCGCAAAAATTGCATCTTACGATATTATTTTTGGTGAATTTATATTTATAAAATCCGTTCATTTTGTACCATGGACGACAAAGATGTTGCTGTACTTATTTATTCTTTTAAATATATAAATATGCATGATACTTTTATCTGTTGTTGTTTCTCTTATAATACTATTTGATTAATTATTTATAGGGTAATATAGATCTTAAAGACGTTCCAAATGAAAAAAATCTGAATCAAACTAAAAGTGACAAAAAGACTGCAAAGGGTGGTAATTTTAACAGAAAGTGGGCCTCTCTAGATAACATTGCTGACTCTCAAATAAAGGTAGAAGAAACTAAGAAGAAGAAAAACGACGATTGTAAAGGTTCTGGTCAAAAGTTTTCGAAAAAAATGAACAAAACCATGAATGATGTTAATATAGAATCAAGTAATTCTAAAGCTGAAAATTTTAATTTGACCAAAAATGGTCTGAAGAAAATTAGTAAACCAATAGCTCGACCAAAGGCTAATGATTCGTTTGGTAGCAGTGATCGACCTCCGGGAAAAAGAATACAGAGATCTCGCAAGAAGGAAGCTCATGTACCCTTTGGTAAGTGATTTATGATTTACTTTTTCTAACAGTTAAAAATCTTAGTCTTAGACTATAGCAATTATAGCAGAACCATATAGATTTCAAAAATAGTATGTATTATAAATATAAATTTTTAATTGTTTTGTGAAAATTCGTTGCATAATTAGCGTATTAAAACTCATTACTCGTGGGGATTCGAGGTCGGTGAACATGATTATGACTGGTGTCTGGTAAAGCTGTTAACAACTCCTTCCCATGGAGTTTTGTGAAAATTCGTTATATAATTAGTGAAAACTAGTTATATGGGGATTTTCGAATTCGCTGAACACGAATGTGACACCGGCAAGAGTCTCCTGAGTAACTGGTGTCCGGTAAGGGTGTTATCAACGCCTTCCCATGTGTAAATTTGTTATATAATTAGCCAAAACTCGTTACTAAGGGATTTTTGAGGTCGAAGAACACGAATGTGTTTATTCGGAGTAGCTGGTTCTTGTTCAGGGTGTTGTCAGCACCTTCTTATGGAGTTTTGTGAAAATTTGTTACATAATTACAACACATTACTCGGGGGTTTTCGAAGTTAAAAAAAAATACCGTGTACCCCCGTTAATTAGGCGAAATGTGTAAATCTAAGTAAGGCTCGGTGCAATTTTGGCCCGCCAACGTAAATTTTTCGTTTTTATTATTATTTTTTTTTAGCTGGGATGCAATCAAAATAAAAATTTCAAAAAATTCACATGCATAGCTGAGGCTCTTAAAAAATTTTTATAGACCCGTAGATTAAGTGTACTGTTAAGTCTATATTAATTCTAATTTATTTTTTTTTATTATTTATCAAAGGTTCTATATTTATAACACTTACAAGTTAATTTAAAGTTTATTCATACTAATTCATCTTACACATAATTTATTTATACGAGCGTTACATTTAAATACCCGTCGCGAATTTATCTTCTGACTGCCTGTTTTCTACAAAAAGGTCCCGTTATATACCCATACAGCTGTTAGACTAGAATGTCTCGAAGGATGCCGACCGTTGGCGAAAATACTGGAAGGTTACGGGCTGGTTTTTCATTCAACCTATTTCCGGAACGTTCGAATGGATCGATTTTTATTACTTGGAATTTTCTGCCAGCTAGTCGAAGGGTCCTAAAATCTAGAACATATTAGTGAATAAACAACATGTTTACAGGTTTTTAATATGACTCATATTTTTACGTAACATTGCTCCCCTCTTAAAAGATGGTTCCTCCTGGAACCTTGTCGGGACTGGAACTGGAAAGGCATGCTGGAGCGGCAACTGGACCCTCTTTTACAACTTCCAGTTGTATAAAAATGACAAGCGACGGTTTTATCTCCGCGCCAGTAACTAACAGTTAATCTGTTGCAGATTGCAACAGACTAACACCTGGACTTCGGTGCCTTTAAAGATCTCCTCCACCATATTTCGGATAACCCTCCAATCTAATTGGCGGCACTCCAACTTTGGCATGGCTAACTTTTGCACATCGGACTCTAGTACGTGCTCTCTCAATTGAAATAAGGCTTCCCATACATCTCGGTAGGTAGGTTGGTCATGGTCTTTTGTTACCAGGTAGAAAAGGTAACGTGATGCATCTTAGAGTTTCAAGGCTTTTCCAGGAGCTGGCACTTGGCATTGAAGTTCTGCAACTCGACCGAACTTCCTTCGACAGACGGATGCCAACCCTGGTGCGTCTTTGATACTGGCCGAGATGGTAAGAGCCAGTGAGTAGTCATCGGGAAGCACGAGTAGATCTTGCCTTTCTTCAGTCGTAACACCATGTCTTGCTTTACCGGTACCTCCATAGGCACCCATGAATTCCTCAAACGTGAGGTCAGATACATCTTGGACTTGGTTTACTTCCACTTCTTCATCTACGTCGTGGTCACCTTCGAAAGACATCAGCCGGTTATGGTGTACTATCATCGGCTTTCCCCTCGTAATCTTGCTTATTCGGTAAATGACATCATTGATCTTCTCCATAATGAGGTATGGACCTTCCCAAAACTGCTGCAACTTGGGAGAACAACCTTTTCGCTTTTTGGGATTATAGAGCCAGACTTTGTCGTTCTTCTTAAAACACCCCCTTTCGCGTATCGTACCGTTTCTTCATTCGGTGACTAGCGATCTGGAGATGGGAACAGACCAACTCGTGTACATCGTCCATTTTTACACCTTTTCTAACTCAATTTTCAATATCAAAGACCTGCGTCATTCTCCATCTATTCTCACCATAGCTTTGGAACCCTCTAGAGTCATTCGTATAAGTTTAACCAACTTATCGGGTATCCCTGACATAGATAGTTGCTTTAACATCTTTTGTCGATCTACTCCATCAAACGCCTGTTTGAAATCGATATACAAGTTGTAAATAGCTATGTTATATTCAACACATTTTTCATGCATACCTCTTAATAAACATATGTATTTGGCCTATAGTTGACCTCTTTGGTCTGAAGCCACATTGGTATTCACCAATCATCTCCTCCGAAAACGATTCCAGGCGGCTGTATAATTCCTGATAATATCTTGAAAACGACATTTAAAACTGTTATGCCCCTATAATTTTTGCAGAGTCGATTCCTACTTTGCAATCTTCTGGGAAAACATAATTATCCAATCCAAAAACCACGGTTGCCAACTTCTCTTGGCCATGTACAATGTTCCACTAAGTTTTAGGAAACCAAATATTGCTGAAATCTATAGATATAGAAAGTTCTTCTTATAGTGCCGTGCGCCTATAGTGCGTTGGCGAATTATCTTAAGGTCAGACGTATGTCTTTTGCGGCATGCAAAAAATTGCCAATATTATTTATACCTGTCCAGTTCTTTATGTTCCGTAGCCACGACATTTGTTTGCGACCTACTCCACTTTTGCCTTCAATCTTTCCCTGGATTATTAGTTGAGGGATTTGAATATTTTTTCCTCTCAGAATATGGCCGAGGTATCCAATTTTTCGTACCTTGATCAAATTGAGTAATTCTCTCAGTATTTGCCTTTCTTAAGACTTCCTCGTTTCTCACCCTATCTGTCCATGGTATGCGGAACATACTTCGCAACGTCCACATTTCGAAGGCGTCCAACTTATTAATGGAAGGTACTCTTAACGTCCATGTTTCCATGCAGTATAACAATATGGACCATACATAGCATTTAACCATCCTGTAGTGGAGATTGAAGGAAAGATTGCGGTTACATAGTAGCGGTTTAAATTTGATAAAAGCTGTCTTGTCTGTTCGATGCGGCATTTTATTTCTCGTTGGGGAAAGCATTTTATTTTAGGAGCATTTTATTTCTTTTATAGAATGTACTTGACAGCTTTCTTCCAAAAATAGAAAAGTTGTCATTGTCAAAATTCTATCTACAGTATATTTAGTACTTACTCAGCACAATGATACAGTATTTACGCAGCACTTTAAAAGAGTTTACAGTAAAACCTCTTTTGACTGAAATAATTGGGGGGGGGAGGCCGTTTCGGATAACAAGAATTTCGGTTAAAAATAACATTGCTTTTTGTATTGTTCTTGTAGCAAATTACGTATTCTTGGTCAAAGTTGGTAATAAAAATACTATAAGTTGATTTTGTAACGTTTTCTAATACCTATGTAAATAAAATACAGAATAAAGTAATAAATAAGGAAAATTAACATGTTCTTGTTTTTTTAAGAAATCGTCCATTTTCGTTTGTGTTTTTCTTTGAATACGATGTTTTACAGCTGTGTCTCTCCATCGTTTTAATTGCAGAACGTCATGCGGTTTTGCCTCATTAGATTTTTCGACGAAACGTAAAGCAATCTGAAAAGCATAAAACGATATGCCATGACAATAAAAATTAAAAACTTCGGCGTGTCCCTAACTAATTAGACCTACTGTATAAAATTCTCACCTCTAAGGCATTGAAAATCTCGTCGGCGTTGTGCTGCTTGTCGTCTGCTGGGTCGTCATCTTCGTCGTCTAATACGCTCAGGTTGTCTGGATGAAGAACCATATCAATAATGTCTTCGTCGATGAATTCACTTTCTGAGTCATCGGCTGCTAACCACTCACGTATCTCTTTTTGGTTAATTTTGTCACATCCTGGCAAACTTCTTATCAAAGGTTCAATTTCTTCAGTCTTTTTTTCCACATTTTCTTCTTCAGGATCGTCAATCAAAATCCCATCAAAAAGTTTGTTCCAGCATTTTTCTAATGTTTAAGATTTGATCTTGGCCCAATACTCAGCACACCAATAAACAACATGTTTCATTGTTAAACATTTAAGAATTTCAGGAACGCTTTTGTATTCATTCGTCTCCCGTAATAACAGATGCCTGAAGAATGCTCATCTACAATGTCTTTTGAATGTCTCTATTACTCCTTGGTCTAACAGCTGAATTAAGCTTGTGACATTCGGTGGCAAAAATCTGACAATTATATCACCATTTTGTAGCTTTTGAGGGTGAGTTGGCGTATTGTCAACAAGCGACAATTCTTTGATGGGAAGATTTTTTTTATTTTAAAAAGGATTTTACACTTAGAACGAATTCATTTTCGAACCATTCTGAAAACAAAGTGGTCGACATCCATGAGCTTTTTTGGCTTCTATAAAAAGTGGAAGTGCTTGTTCTGAAACATCTTTTAGAGCTCTTGGTTTTTTTTTATTTCCCAACACACATAGGCCTCAATCCGTGAGTTCCTGCTGCATTGCTACAAAACATAACTGTTATTCGTTGTTTAGTTATTTTTAGGCCCAGTGCACAGTGTGCTTGTTTTGATGCAAGTGATTTTTTGGGCAGCATTTTGAAATTTAATCCAGTCTCATTTACGTTGTAAATTTAATCTTTGGTGTAGTTTGTCAATAACTTATCGATTTCAGTTTTAAAAATATTCACAGCATCGTGGTCAGCAGATAGCTTTTCTCCACATAAATTAACTTGACAAATATCGTAACTATTTTCCCATTAGTCTATCCAACCTGAACTTGCTTTAAATCTTCACCTTCATCGCTCATCATTTCGG